AACTCACACCACATATTGCAGAGAGTATAAGGGCTGAAATTAAGGAGAACAACTTGTAGGAAGATAATGCCTTTTCTGCATGAATCACATGATTTATATATTTCTATCATATTGTTTTTCAACTAGTTGTGCTTCTCATTATTGGTCATTGGTGGTTTTGAAATATCACTCAAACCACAGGCAAAATAATCTGAAAATAATGATATCTATCAGGATTGAAATTCTATAGTAATGACGGACATTAAATGTTTTACCATCCAGCTTAATATTATTTTGTCATCACAATAGTCAAAATTCTGTGACAGTTTGTATAAACAGCAACAACATCAATGTAAGGACATCAAGACATTCCACTACTGCGCTCCTTAACTGGCACAATATGTGGTTCATCTAAGTGAATTCATTTGGTAAAGAAACATCACGTTATAAAAACAGTCTGAACTGGAAAACCCTTATAAAATCCAACAATTGGATGGTTTTAGGTGGATATCACAGACGCAACTACAAATCAGACAATCCTTTTAACCCTTTCACCTTGCTTTACTGCATATACATAAACAATAATTTAATAGATAATAAAATGATCCATTTAGTAACTAAATCGTTTTTTAAGAATCTATTATCAGCGAAGCATTAAGTATGACCATAATATTGGACAGATTATTTGACATTCTGATGTTCCCCTGTCACTACAATTATGTCAGCAAGACACCCATCCCTAGAAATAGTGTGGATATAAATTGTTATAACTTGTTTACCTCTGATGACCATTGTGAAATATTGTGTAAATATATCATGGCATTGGCTTTGTAATGGATGTTGACCATTTGATATGCTTATGGACTGGATTTTGAATGTACCACATCATATGAGACTGATGCTCTCACTTAAGTATGAATACTAGTATTTTTGATATCATTAGTGAGTAGTGGTTATCTGGTTTGTGATAATGGTGGGGGAGGGCATTACTAGACATTGTTTCTTTTCATTTTTTTACATTATGGATAGTTGGGGTTTTGCTTTCCTTATGACTTGTGTACGCGTTAATGTTTCCTTTTTCTTGCTGTTTGCTGCTACAAGTGTTTAAGGTAAGCTTGTGGACATTTTTATCAAACATCTATTTTGAAGAGGATAAAGTAAATATCAAATCTTCCTACAACCTTGTTGGAGAAAATTACTTTTTACTGACAGAACCTTCATAAAATCTCCTACAAAATCTAAAGAAGTAACTTGATTTTAGCTCCATCTCATTTTACCAACCACCTCATCTCATATCTCCTATTTGTCACTCACCTTGACACCTTAGACAGTCATTTATCATCAAAAACTGTTTAAAATTCTCCAACTTCCAGTTTTTGCACTTAAAGATAAGTCTAATATGTCATTTGAATTCCATGCCATTTCGTGAAAGTTCAGATGAAGCCATTGCTTGCAGAATTTATTGCAGAATTTCGGGATTTCATGTAGGAATTTGGCACAGAATTCGTCTTTTTCATTCAGAATTTCTGTGCAGAAAACTAGGATGTGAGATCAATGTGTCATCATCATAATCTATCATTTTAATTTGTTAAAAATGAAGGAAATACCATTGATATGAGGGTAAATGGTGATTAGAATTTTTTGAAAAATTTCAGACAAATCTCTGTCATTAACTTTGACTTCAAGTCAATGTATAGGGTTAGATGACCCCTTCATAACTCTTAATGCTTTTTCATGGCATTTTTACTAACTTAGCTATCATATTGCATCCATATGATACATGCTTATGCATCATACTTCTGGTATGATCAGGTTCTATATGCTTGTCTGAAAAAAGGAATCAATCCCCAAACAAGTCAGTCTCCACGGAATTCACATCCAAAACAAATCCACGCTCTAAGGGTTAACATAGTATTAACACAAATTTGAGTATTTTTACCATGGTATATCATTTAAAGTCTTAGATGTAGATTAAGGTAGACTTATTTGACACCCTGTAAAACATATTAAGAGTAGGAAACATGCTTGTCAAAAGAAGTGATTGTGGCGTCCAAAAAGCCACAGGAGTAACAATACCATGACACATGAATTAATGATGTACTGTAAATTGGACTACCTTAAAAGGAAAATGAGCAATAATGGGTGCTTCAATAAGACAAGGACTAATTTCATTGGCTGTGATAGATTGATTTCAATATATCAATATATCAATAATGTATGACTAAAATGGAAGATGACTTCAATAAATCATTGCTATGAAGGAAAAACCTAAATATTAGGGAGGTTAAGCTTGCATATAAAATGAACATATCAATCGGGCATATACATGGGATGTAGTTCTCTCACTTACAAAACAGTTCAGAGTTTATGCTTACAACAAGATGCAGCATAAAAATTCCATTGGTATTTCTATAGTTGGTTTTCTGATAAATATTGTAAACAAGCTTGTTTAAGATAAATGAAGCTAAAAATGCATGACAAAAAACTTTAAAAAAACTCTTACTTCATCTTTTTAAGAATTAATTCTTATGTGAATAGAAAGCAGAATTGCCAATTACCATGAGGATAATTATTCCTTTTGACACTTGTTATTATGGCAGAATCAAAAAGACCATTGGCTGACTGAGAAGAGTGTTGACCAGGTTATATTCAAACTACAACTGTAGTTGGAGATATGGAAGTTATGCCATTGGTTGATGATGCAGACAACTTAACATCAAAAGGGGTATACCACCCCAATCATGGGGCTCTTTCAAATTGAAACAAGATATCACCTCTAGGGTATCAACCATGAAGGCCAAGGTGATTCTCCTTCATTTACAAGTTGAACTAAAAATAATTTTCAAATGCTTACAAATGGTCATTTGTCAAAAGAGTCAAATTTCCATTCTTGTTAAATTCCTGAACCACCATCCGCAAAATGCATTACATATGGGATTACATTTGGGAACATTTTATGGACCAAGATTGAACTAGTTAAGAAATGAGGAATGCTATATTAATTAATCATCTAATTAGTGCCTTTCGACACCTCGTTCACCTTGGCATATCTCATAAATCTTTTGTAAGATATAAAGGATTATTTCGATACAATCTCTTTCTAGAGCCTTTAACTTGATAAAATTCTAGACTAATAAAAATCTTCATTAATTAAATTGTTAAATCATACTCGTACAATGGATAATGTAATTATAATGTCTTGATTTATAATATACCATTGGTGAGTAGGTAAACAGCATATTTCTAGCATGAATTATGTGCTAATAGAGAGCTTTCGATAAGTTATTTGGTCAACTTGTACGTAAAGTTGTACTTCTAAATAAAAATACAGGGTTTACATCAAGCCCGGTGATCGTACAAAATGGATGGAGGGAGATTAGGCGATTTCTGCAAGAAAACTCAACAAATTTGGAAGATTTATTTTTTCAATAGAAAATTTACAACTGAATTGCAAAATGAATAGGCGCAGATACCCTTCTAAGATCTATTAAAAAAGGTGCATCATCACCAACATGCAAAAGTCAATGTTTTTGCTATAAATCGGGCAACAATGGTCTTCACGGCTATCCAACGGAGTCTTTTCTTCATCTGAAATATAGTGTTAACAATTATGTTTAATTGTCCTATATTTCTACCCAACTCAAAACATGCTGAATATCATACAGAGCAATAAAACTTAATGTGGATGGATAATGAATGCATTGTTCCATTTTCTGGAACTGACTGACTTAATAGTGGTTGGCAAGAAAAATAAATTTCTATTCTCATCCACTGAAGTAAAAGTGTAACCACATTAGGTATAATGTCAACTTCATGGTGTGCCAAAGACGAGGCAATTCATTTATTTAGAATTAGGGTAATTTATCAAATATTTGCCTATAGAGGCTAACTTACTTCAAGGTAATGTAAATAATAAAAAGATTTAAAAGAAATTAGTGTTATATGTGTCATATATCTGTTCAATATTAGTCGTTTAAGTGACAATGTTTATCTAATTCAATAAAACCTTTCAAAATATTGACTTTTCTTTCTTAAAAAACATTAAAATGGTTTGTTGATACAGAATCTAAGCAAAATTCAGTAGGTGGTAATATTAGTAATATTTATCAGTTTAAATTATTTTTATTCGATTTTTAGAAAAAAATTAAGACTGGTATTTTTAAAATGGCAATGGCAGCAAGTCTGATGAAGGGATGCTAAATAATCTATTCCATTCCTGAGGGTAAATCATAAAACCAAAACCAATACCACAAGACTAAAAGGAAATGAGTCTGCCCTGCCAGATGTTGCTACTTTAACTGAGGAAGACAACATTTTCTGAAGTCCACAACTGCCTTGTCTTTCTTTTCTCTTTTCTTCAATGATGAACTTCTCAATCTCTATCTTTTATGAATACTAGTATCTACAACTATTTTTGATGTTATGAGTATTGGCTATCAATTTTTTCAATTTTTCTTCAACATGTACAGTATTGTAATGACTTCAGTGTGAATGAAATGTCCCTTGGTGTTCTGGTCCTGGATTGTGATATTGGTTCTCGATTGTTTATAACTTGGTCCCAAGCTAATTTTGGCCCACTTGGCAAATGGAATGATTACTCGCCCAACAATGACCAAATATCAATGAATGATATATCATTGTAAAGAGGAGACACATGGGTTTATGGTGCACTGAATAAAATCAATGCTGTTATCACTGGTTTTGTGCTTTTCCGAGATAACAATCAGTTGCGTTTTTTTATATTCACTGTATATTAAGTCTGAAGTGTTCCTTGAAGGATACATCAAACCTTAGTAAAGTAAGTCAACTGTTCACAACAAAAACAACATCCAATTTAGAAATTGCCAACAATATTGTCAGGGGAAAGTGGGTTGGGGGGGGGGGGTTGTTAGTCATTATTTCTTTTCATGTTAGATCATGATTTGGATAAATTGGGTCTATTTTTCTTATGACATTACTAAAATATTTTGACATAATAAATACCAATTAGAAATGATGTCCAGATCTAAGCAAACAAAAAACTAGACTTCTGGTGGTAAGATGGATGCAGGATTCTTCATAGTTTCTTCCTAAAAGACAAAAAGGGATAAAATATAAGTTGAAATAAAGGAATCATTGTAGATATGAAGGAATCAGTGTAGTGTAGACAAAACAGCTAAACAACTTGCCCTTAAAATGAATGCTTACTGGGCATTATTTGAAAATTCCTTTGATACCCAGTAAGAAGCATGTAGTGGTCATACACAAAGTTAATTCAGTTAATTGTATGTTTATACATAATGTGATGTTTTATGGCCTTGTTCATCCAAAGTTGAAAATACTACAAGAAGCCGGTAGCATCTGAAAATGAGCAGCCACTAATTTGTGTGAAAACAAGGCTATATTGATTATTTTGCATTAGAAATTAGGGGTAAAACAAGAATGGGTACAATAATCAATGATTTTAAATAGGATATACTGATGTTATTCTCAACACTTTTCAGTTCAACCAGTAATTTTCCTTGACATACATATGCAAGAAATTCAATATTATTAATTTGATCCTCTTTTATTGAATTAACAAATGTCCTTTGATGTATTTATTCACCCTTGGATATACACACTCCATGGAGACAGATCACCTAAAATTACATTCATATGATGCAAGAATGTCTAAATCCAAATGTTATAATTGAGTATGCTGTCAGTACACAGTATGGTCTTATTCAAATTATTGAAATTAAACTGAGCCAAAAATATACCCATCAAAATGGGTGCAAAAAGTCAAAAATATTCCCAAATTAAGTATACCATAATAATTACATGTATACCATACCATACTTTAAATTAATTATTAACTTTGTTGGACTAGAACTTTTCTGACTTTACATTTAAGCTTAACAAACTGAAATCAATGTATTAGCCAGTACTTAGGACACATTACCGTGACCTCGAAGATTTGATTAAACATGTATGGAAAAGGTTGTGCAAGCAGTAATAATAAAATCTATTTTTCAGATGGTCTGTGGTTAAAATGTTTGCTGCAAGTCATAAACATATTGGCAATTAGCATTGACATTATCAATCTTTAGCTGTATTTGTGAGGAAAGATGACAAGAACTACTAATATACAACTCCCTCATGAAACTATAAAAAGGTTGATGCTCTGCTATCCACTTTGGCCAATAATAATGATTATATCTTTAGAGGTTTGTCTAGACCAGATATTAGACAGACAGTGATATATGATGTTAAGGTGAACAGTGAAATACATGATTAATGAGGTCTTGATTTTCAGATGTAACACAATTCTGAAATGTCAAAATCAACAGATTATTATGATTTATTAGAGTATTGTTTAGTGCTAATTTATCAAAATTTAGCATTTTACAAGTTAATCTTATATTAATAGCACCCCACACATAATTTTGTGGACAACTTTAATCTAAGATTTAATCACTTTCCTACATATTTATGAAATTCAGCCTCAATGAAATGAAATATGAACCTGGAATGTTCCAATTTTTAAAAATAAAACAGCATAGGCTTAGTGCAAAATACTCTAGATCAGTCCAGGGCTGACATAACTAATTGCCAAATATTCTCATGGCCAGCATGTCGCAGTTAAGAGTTCAGAAGCCAAGGACGGATTTTTTAGGGTGTAGCTAATATGAACTTAATTTGCAAAAGTACAACTGGGATTTATATAATACACTATCCTACAAATATTAGCAGTTAAACAATAATAATAGTTTCTTTACTTTGCTAATACCATGCAAAACTAAAACATTCAAGAATACATTTGTAAATGCTAAAATATCCTAGTTTGAGACAACTTTGCAAAATGATACTGCATTTGAAATAAATTGTTGAATATATTTAAAATGTTTTGTGTTGAAAATCTTGAAGTTGGTGATAAAATTATGTGTGGGGTGCAATGAATGGTATACTAGGTGTCCCAAAAAGGGAATAACATCAAACATTCCACATGATCAAGAAAATTCATTTGTCAATACACACACAGAGCAGTAAAACATTCATAGAAATTAGTAAATTATTTCTCGAGATTGATGCAGACCTGAATACAAACAATTTCACAAACATAAAAGATGGTGCTAAATTAGTTTTTTAAAAATAAAATTGCATTGTGAAACTTTCAGATACAAATTTATGATGATTAAAATGTCTGTCAAATGACCAAATTTTAAGAATACTCCTTCATCACCCGGAGTCCCAGAGTTATTCCATGTTTAGGACACCTAACAAGAAGTGGGTGATGCAAGCTTTCCTCTAAAACTAACAAGAGATACACCTTGAAACTATCAGATTTTAATGAAACTTAAGTTGTCTGTTAGAGACAGACAAAATTCCTTCACCACTCACCGAGGTATTATATGTTTGTCTCATACAAGTGATTTAGACTGATTTGGTTTAAAAATGCATTCTTATCAGATGAGGTCAACCATCAGCTGTTTTGGGTGATTGTTCAAGTGTAACTTACTTGACTGATTTTTGTGGTTCATGATTGTTTCTATATCTGTGCATGTTTAAAAGGTGGTAGTACCTCCTTGAGGTCCTGTTCAGGCTGTAACATGGATTCTGAGTTCAATTCTTTGTAACTTACTTTTATAGAGGGCATTTTATACTATGATAAAATTACTTCCTGGGAATGTAATGCAATGTAACTGATATTGGAAAAAATAATTTGCTTAGTAGTCTATGGGCACAGAGGTATGGAAAATGGCTCATGCATTAAGTATCATGAAGCTGCCATGACGTGGCATTAAGATCACAGAGGAACCATTGCATCAAAATAAGATCATTTTATAGCATATTTATTTTCGGATTGGTAATGGAATATTACAAGGGCAATACAGGAAGACTTCAATTTTACAGAACGGTAGTTTGAACAAGAACACTGTTAATTTCAGCAGAAATACGGTAGATTTCCAAATATTTATGGTATATTTTACACCGTTTCTTATAGAAAAAATCAAATTATAAAAATATATATTTTACGGTAGATTTCGGTAAAATTATGGTAGATTTTTTACGGTAGTTTTTTACGGGAAAAAGGTAATTTTTACAGTAGTTTGTCATTTTAATGGAAAAACGGTAGATTCCCATACAAATACAGTAGGTGTGCAGGAATGAACATGGGAAAACATTCTTAATCAGTATGTTTACTACATTGAGCTCAGATATAAGAAACCTATTGTTGCGTTTGATTGGTATTCAAATGAACCAAGCACAAAGGACTGTACCCATGAAAGGTGACAAGGAGATTTACAAGGTACCGTTGTCCATTTCCTGAGTAGCACAACGCTTTAAACAAACAAGGAAGTATTTCTTTCAAGAACAAGCAAACCTTCACCAAGCATCTTTCCTAAAGACTTAGGATGTGAATTTCTACATGCAAAGGGAGATGCTGATGTTCACATAGAACAGACAGCAGTGACATCTGCCTCTACATCTGAAACTGTACTAGTTGAAGATGATACTGACCTTCTTATCCTAATGTGCCACTACTCCAAAACTTTGACATATATTTCAGACCTGAGCCGAGATCTCAAACATATTCTTACAAACTTCGTGGTTGAGGTACATAGATGTACATAGTTTTACTATCAGTCTGATATGGAGCTGCATGTGTGTTACGTGTTTATGAACATATAGTTATAGTGTGCACTCGGTTCATGCCCGAACGCTGGAGGCTTTTACCCAGGCACAAATTGTCTCTCTGTGTTTATAAATGTATTACATCTGAAACTTTCAACTTTTTAATAAAATTGTTTGTAACTTTATCCAAGGAATGTTGAGTCATTATTATTTATACTCGCATTGTAGCAGAGTGGCGATATTCCAGGCCTTGGTTACCTTTTTAGCCCGTCTACGTGAAGGAACATCATATGTGAGGGCGGTATTCTTTCGATACAAATGCCATTGTGTGTGTCTATCCACTGTATCAAACGACGGCGTTTGCATTAAAGACATAGCCGTGGCTGTGTGGGCCAATCGGTACGTCAGCGAATATATCGTCCTCACTGCCTGACATTCGCGGTCGTAGTTTGACCCCCTTTCAAACAGTAACCACTGCATAACAAGTGTCCTCCCCACGAGTCTAGCCAGTGGGTTTCATCGGTTACACAGTTGGACCAAAGCTATGGCCCACCTCACCATGGCTGTGTTGTAACATGTTGTAGAGGACAACTCTAGGTATGAATGGTGAAGGAAGTGGGGGTTTTCCACATTAGCCTGAAATGAATACCACAAACAATTATTTACATATCCAGAGTACTGCATTTTAAAATTGTAAAGTCCTCTTTCCAATAACCGAGCTTTTATTCTAAAGAGTTGCTTTAAATGCAAAGTGAAACATCCAGAGTTTGGTGTTTTAAAATTATAAAATCGTCTCCCCTATTAACGAGGTTTTATTCTAACGCTTTAAAGACAAGGGAACAAAAATAAATAATTACCACTCGTGCGACATCCGTCAGCGGTGAGCGTACCCCCTTGGAAAACGCTTTGTAAACATCCTCATCCAAAGAGTCCATGTCATCTAGACGGATACAACAGTCGATACCCATCGGCCAGGCCAGCTGTACCCCCAGCGAGGTCTTTAATCTATGGAGTATATTGGCAAAGGAGTGCGTTCCCTAGCTGTTGCGGGTCGTGCTCTTCACCTGTACTTTGAAATAGAGCTCATCGTAGACCCCCTCGTCATCCTGGTCCTCCGGGATTTCGCTTGTTTCCTCCAGGCCTAGGGAAGAGGAAATCAATTTTCTTTTGTATCGTCGTCGCACCCCCTCCACCTTCAAAACGTTGCTCACGACTGAGTACGTCAGCTTCAGGCCATTTAAATTGGAGCTGAGTACTCCAGTGACAGCCTGTATATCGAGGCGCCAGTCACACATATGTGCAGGCGGAAATAGGTGAAAGCTGATCTCCATGGCTGCTGTCTGACTCGTGTCCAATTCTAGGTCATTGACCTCGAAGGTCAACACCTGATTGACCAGCCTAAGACTTCTGCTGTCCAGTCGTCCGACAATGTCGGCCCTCTCCACGGCCTGAAGGGCGCACATCTTGAGAGTGAACGGCATGTACATCTTCAGTTGTGTTTGTAGATTTTGTTGTCGCTTGAAAAGGTCGGCTAGTGAGACTATGTCCTTGGTGGAACACCTGATAGCATGACTACCCTGTCCCGGATTTATACAAGGTACACTCCACAGCAGGGTGGGGGTTGATGCGGGCCAAAGTGGCCGTATCAGTCGTGTACCAGCGGTTGTATTTTGAGTTAATTGTTAGTTTAACAATGGATTCTTTCGTGATGGATCAATTGAACGAGATATATAACTTGAGCCAGCTTAACAATTTTATTCGCCGTCATGAGTTGGAGAATTGTGAGTGAGCCTTGTTCATACGATGGCTTATGCTTCGCATCAAAAACGTGATTGTAAGTATGTGGGGGTCTGTAGGTGTGTGGGCGTCCTTAAGTATGCGGGCGTCCTTAAGTACGCGGGCGTCCGTAGGTACGCGGGCGTCCGTAGGTACGCGGGCATCCGTAGGTACGCGGGCGTCCGTAGGTACGCGGGCGTCCGTAGGTACGCGGGCGTCCGTAGGTACGCGGGCGTCCGTAGGTACGCGGGCGTCCGTAGGTACGCGGGCGTCCGTAGGTACGCGGGCGTCCGTAGGTACGCGGGCGTCCGTAGGAACGCGGGGGTCCGTAGGTACGCGGGGGTCCGTAGGTACGCGGGCGTCCGTAGGTACGCGGGCGTCCGTAGGTACGCGGGCGTCCGTAGGTACGCGGGCGTCCGTAGGTACGCGGGCGTCCGTAGGTACGCGGGCGTCCGTAGGTACGCGGGCGTCCGTAGGTACGCGGGCGTCCGTAGGTACGCGGGCGTCCGTAGGTACGCGGGCGTCCGTAGGTACGCGGGCGTCCGTAGGTACGCGGGCGTCCGTAGGTACGCGGGCGTACCTAGGTACGCGGGCGTCCATGTAGGTTTAGCCAAGGTCGAGTAGTCTGAAAATTGTAAACAACAACTCATTAGAGAGAATTATGCTTTTATTGAGATTTATTTTTGACTTATATTTAGTATGCTGGTTGTTTTTCAATACATTCAAATTACACTCTTATCTCTTTCATACTCTAGAGGAGGGGGTTGCGTGGGGGTATAGTCAATCACCGGAGGATGTGCACGACGTATCGGACGCTATGCTTTTTGACTTTGACGACACGGACTCACAGCTTTGTTCTCCACAGGACGACTTTGAAAATGACATCGACATCACACTGCTTCGTTTCGATGACGGTCTTAATACTAGTGTTGACTCCAGCTTTACTAGACTGATTCTACTGGCTGTTCAAAATTCTCTGCCAAAACACTACGTTAATAGCACAATTAGGGAATATAGGCAGGCCAGGGGATACCGGAACCAGATAGGTCGCGGTCGTTTTGACAGTCCAGCTGGCGGCGAGGTTCGGCCACGCCAGTCAGACACGCGAACTGGAAATAGCCAGGCGGTGGGTCCTGATATAGCGGACCCTCACCAAGCAAATCAACCTACCGAAGGTTCTATCGGCAATGTTAGCGACTCCGAGGGCTACATTCAAATTGAACATCCGGGTGACAGCGAAAATTCAGATTCTGAAGAGACTGACCACATACGCCTCGAGGTACCTAGCGACGACGAAGCCGTCGAACACAACACCATCGATGGTGATGACAGCCCCGGGCGAGACCGCCCCATTACTGACTTTTACGATGTGACATGCACTTTTATAAATACTTTCAAATATTAAATATTGTTGGTACAACTGATTATTCCTACCCAATGTATACTACTTCTCAACACAGCACATACTGAGACTGTACTGATATGCCACCTTTAAAAAGGTTTAGTAACTACTGTATCACATGATCTAGGTCACATGATAATACATGTACTTTAATGTTGGGCCTGCTTTTGAATCTTCTGGATGTGGTTTATTTTCCATACTTTGTACAATTTCTAAACAAGTTATATTGTCTCAGTATATTATTCATATAGTTAGTTTTCAAGGTTAACATATAATCTCTATGTTGAAATAGGTATTTTTTATATACCGTTTGTAATTTTGAAGTTATTAGGAGTTTAAGGAAAGACTCAAGATGTTTTGCAAATCTCAACATCAGCCATATTGGATTTCATTCTTTTGTTTGTTTACAACATTTTCACTTAGGTTCAAATGTACATTTTTAGGTTAGTTCCTAGCCGACTTACTTTACCATATGCCCACACTCACAGCCCAAGTAGCTTTATTGTCAGGTAAAATTCCACTCTTGTTATCTGATTTATATTTGTAGTATGTGTAAGGTCAATACGACATTTTGTAAGGTCAACTTGATCCTATTGACCATATTGAACAAGTCATGCTTCATGTGTTTTGATGTTTATATAATGCTTCAGGCGTTGTGTGGGGAAATAAAGTTTCATTCATATATTACTTAATCCCCATCACAAATATGGTTTTATCAATTAAAACATTAAACATTTTACTTTATTGCTACGTATCAACTTATGATGTGAATTTTATATTTTTAGGCATTCGACCAACAGTACTGCACTGGCAGACTGGTCACTCTTTTTTTATATAATTTATATTTTAAGGTAGTTGTCACTCTTTTAAGGTAGTTGTACAACAACATAGCAGTTGTGCAACATAGTAGTTGAGCGTTAAGGTAGTTGTGCAACATAGTAGTTGAGCATTAAGGTAGTTGTGTAACAAGGTAGTTGTGTAACAAGGTAGTTGTGTAACATAGTAGTTGAGCATTAAGGTAGTTGTGCTACATAGCAGTTGAGCATTAAGGTAATTGTGCAAATTATACATGATCAATAAGGAAGTTGACTGATATAATATATGATATAATATAAAATATTTTATAAATTTTTCTTGTTTTTTATTTATTTTGGACAAAACGTCCCTCACAAAGAAAAAAAAACTGGCGTTTCCAACAGACATCACAGGGGTTTGGATGCTGATGAAGTAAACCACGCATATCGGTTAAGAATACCCGAATTTCTCTCATTCCGGAATTGTTAGAGCATTTTCATAGGCTCTTTAACCACATCATTTTCAGCAAACTGCTAGGTGATGTCGATGATACAGACTATGTGCGATTTCAAGTTGACAACAAGTGGTTTAGGGAGCCTCTTAATACACCTTTGCTGATAAAACACGAACTGACAGCCGGTCGGCTCCTGGATATGATTGAGGCTATTATTCAAAGCAATCATGAGGTTCTTCTGACTGACACTTTTGTATTTAATGTTATCATTGTACGTAGCCCTGTATTTGGTCTCTACAATGCCTGCTACTTCCATAAATTTGCGCATCAATTGCGATGTGTGATCGAGATTCAAAACACGGATAATTTGTGTCTGGCACGCGCGATAGTAACTGCTATTGAATGGCGCAAATTCACGGCCATTGAACCTGGACAACGGACCCCCGAACAAAAAGCATTGTGGAATAGTGTACGACATGGTCGCTTGGAACAAACTCGATTGGCCTCGAAACTTCAAGCGGACTCTCAGACCCCTCTACCTCATGAAGAGGAGTTATGCAACATGGAACACCTTGCAAGTTTCCAGAAACATTCTTAGCCAATACGTACCAAATATACGTGTTCGGGGAAGACAGCAGTAAAATGCCGGTAAGTGCACAAATATAAAAATAATATAAATAGGCTAACACTTCAATTGTGTACTACACTCCGTAATTCTGTCTCTACATGAACGAATGTCTGACCCTATATGCTCGAAAGTCTGATCCTATATGCCCGAAATTCTGACTCTAAATGAATGAAGCTCCGACTCTACATGTTAGAAATTCTACTCCTATGTAAACAATCTAAATTCTGGCCCTACAAACTAGACTCGTTTGAGGCCTAATTTTGTCACCTGATTCTCGTGAGATTTGTGTTTTATTTTTTATTTTTATTTTTAGATCTTCCAAGGAGCTCCAGCTTTAGAAGACCAACACCTGGCAGTCATGAAAAACCTAGTGGGGCTGTTCAAGACCCGGTATTACTGTTTCGAATGTAACGACGGTTACAACAAGCCAGTAAACCATCGGTGCCTAGGGATATGTCGGTTTTGCGAGGTAACGAGTGCAGAATGTAGGGGTCATTCTGTCTCCAAGGAGTTCCACTGCGCAGAATGTGGTCTTCACTTTACAGGACGGCAGTGCCTGCTCAACCATAAGAGGCCGTCTGAATTGACCGGTGAGGCAAAGTGTAATGTCATGTTTTACTGCGATCGTTGTCACCGCGTAGCTAGTAGAACAGAACGAGAAGTCAATGAGGCGACGGGTAAACGTCAGCCCTTTGGGCACCACTGCTACGACCGTGTGTGTAAAATATGCAAGAAAAAGGTACAAGCCGAACACCGTTGCTTCGTGCAACAGCGTACCAATCTAAAAAGGCAGAGTGAAGCATATTTCTAGTCACAACGAGGTGGTGCGAATGTACATGACAGCGACCAGAGTGATGATGAGGCTCAGGGTGTCGATGCTCACGATGTCAGGGGTATGTAGTCAGTCGACATCCACTGTCAGTGTTATATGGTTTGGCTGTAATAAGGGTGTTATTTCCTTGACTCCGAGGGTCTACTTACAATGTTGTGTTTTCTGTCTCTATTGGATAAGTGTTCCGTTACATTTCAGAACCTGTCAACGGTGTAAAGGACCAGTCTGGAAATAGAAAGTCAAAAGGGCTCCAGGGTTACATATTCTTCGATATCGAGACACGGTGTGACAACGCGACGCAGCTACACGAACCAAACTTAATTGTGGCTCAAAAGTGTTGCATTAAACATTGTCTTGACAAGGAATATAGAGCCCCTGATGATCAGTTTTGTGTCAAATGTGGTACTAGACAGATGGAGTTCTTTGGGGATGACTGTACAACAGACTTTTGTATGTGGTTATTTAAACCGGAGCATAGGACATATTTTGGCGTGGCCCATAATTTTAAAGGTACGTTTGGATAATACAAAATGTTATAAATGTTTGTTTAATAAGTAGTACTATTTAGTTATGATTGGTGTGTGTGTCTGTGTGTGTGTGTGTGTGTGTGTAATCACGAGTGTTTTTACAGTTGCTTTACTTTTCACTGTGTAGGGTATGATTTGTACTTCCTGTTAAATGGATATACGAAAATAGCAGTCAACCTCACACAGTCGGATTGGGTAATAAAGACAATGTGAGTCGCGTCAGCGTCAAATGTAGCCTGACGTTCATACAGCTTCCTCTGTCAGCATTCAACAAATGTTTTGGATTGGGTGAGACGAAAAAAGGTATGTTTAACTTTAATGGTTTAATAATGGTGGATATACATTTCAGATGACATCGGTCGCGAGCCACTCGGACAGTGTCTGCTATGCACACCCAGGCAATTTTAAAATGTATAATCTTTACACTCCAGGAACGTTCCCCCACAAGTTCAATATGGTGGGAAACTACCAATATGCCCCGACTTGCACTATTACGATGTCGACGGTATGAGCGCTCCAAACAAAACCAAATTCATGAAATGGTACAGAGACACCAACCTTTTGTTGGAGGCTGAGCAACAACCGTGGTCCTTAAGGTGGGAATTAGGTAAAATATAAAATGTTAACTGTAGCGCGCGTGTGTGTTTCTGTGTGTGTTTGTGCGAACCACCAACTAGAAAATGTACTAGTTAAATCCAAACCGAGAGACTGGGTCTCCGCACACCTGTATGTATCCAATTTGGGCAATTTTCCCTTTCCAGAGAGCTACTGCGTTACTGATGTGGCCGTATTGAGACAAGGTGTGCTGAAATTCATTGGGGCATTTCGAGCTAGCACAGGTTTGAACCCCCTAGAAATAGATTGCACCGTACCGTCAGCGTGTAGCCTAGTGTACCGGGCTCTTTTCATGAAAAAGAATACCATCGCCATCATTCCTTCTCGAGGTATGTGTTCAACCGAAACCTGTCTATGTATTATTACCTAGAGTTCCTAAAGATTACATTACACTCAGGCTAATACTGACACTTAAAGTACACAATATACATATATTGCAGGGTACAAACTGAAGCGCTGCTACTCCAGAGAAATGTTCGAATATGCGGCATGGCGTGGTTATCAGTACGGTGAATCATACAGAATGGCAGTCAATGGTGGGGAGGTCCCCGTGGGTCGCTACCACCTCGACATATTGAAGTTAGCGCCTGATGGTAGCATGACACGGGATGTTGTCGAATACAATGGGATAAGTGTGTAGGGTTATTTCAGTTATTGTTGGCGGTATAATCGATGTCTTTTAAGTTCCTATCGTTCACTTGCGACTCGTTATCATTATTCGTAACACTATATTATTATTATTATTTTTTTTTTTTATTTATTTAATACACTTATTCGATCCATTTACTACATTCAATACAACAAATCAATATATCTGCGAAATCCAAAAAACACTGTTACCCACCATGTACGTAATACTATTATAGTTTAATATCTAAATACATTTTCTTAATTAAAAACTTCTAGACATCTTTTTAACCATATTTTCCGTTTAATAATAAAAATTTCACTATTAATCTCTATCATGTTTTCTAATGAGCTATCTTCTCTAAAGTAAAAAAGCATTTTATCTCTTTCAATTAAATTAGTAATTTCTAAATTGTCCCATTCATTTTTGAATTTACATTCTAAAAAAAGGTGTTCTTGTGATTCCTCAACATTTTTACAAACTTTACACATTCCATCAGATAATTTTTGTTTTTTCAATCTTCTTTCAATTTCTATTGCACCATTTATTACTTTATATATGAATTCCTTTACTTTATGATTTACATTTGTCTTAAAAAGTACTCTATACATTAACTTAACCTTTAGCGTGCTGCCGGCGGACTCGTCCGCCGAGACTAAAATGTCTCTCACAACTGCCGGCGGACCCGTACGCCCGATTTCAAACTTTTAAAAACTTTACTTTTTCGCGCCATTCGTATTGTCCAATTAGATTGCCCGATTTATTCAGTGCCTAACATGACTTCCTGTTGACCTAGAAATGGCGATATTTCGAAAAATAATTCTCAATTCAACAATTTAAACAGTGTTTTAGTCGTTTTTAGTGAACGAATCGTACAAAATGGTGGACAAATACGATCACAACGAAAATGTGGAGGAAATAGATTACGATTTCGAGCTCTTTAGGCTCTTGGAAGCCGATAACGGTCATCGAAAATAGAAATTAGAATATTTTCTGAATTGAAAAATTGAACAATCGATCGCTGCAAATTCAGATTTGGATTCTGACCAGACGAAGAGGCGGAGCGGCGGATTCCGGAGGAGTATTCATGGTATATTTATGCCCAGTCGTGTTAATGTACGAAAAAATTCATGAGAACATTTTTTTCATGAGCCAGGCCACTGTATCTTCCCTTTGTGAAAA